GGAAGGGAGGGGGGAGAGAGAGAGAGAAAGAGAGAGGAGAGAGAAATGTTCACATATGTGCATAGTAAAGAGAGCGTAGCAGGTGGTGGAGGTGGGGCTATCTCACAATCCCTGATGGATTGCTGAAATCACAGACAGATCTTGTTTGAAGTCTAAAGGCTGATCCCTTCCAATTCATCCTCTACATTCTTAAAGAGAAATCACTCAAACAGGAAGATCTTTTCCTTCCTGGAACAGAAATAACCATGGTTTCATTCTCAGTTGAGAAAGTAATATATGCTCATTTTTAAAAATTTAGTCCATATGTAATTAAAAACACACACGCACATTATCTCTACCAAAAAAACTGGGAACCTCCTAGCCACATTATTTTGTACCTGCTAAATGCAGCTGGAGCGTCCTTTTTCTTCAAATCCTCCAGTAGTTCCCCATTGCCTAAGAAATCAAACACAACAGCCCATTGTAGCATCGACCACCTTCACTGGTAGGTCAGACTCAATTTTCCCATTTTATCTTCCAAAGCTACTGGACATATGTGCTGTGGTTCCGCCAAGTTATTAGATTGCTACATTCCTTCGACATGAGACAGTTTCCCAACCTGATACCTTTGCTCATGCTGTTCTATCTACCTAAATAGCCTGCTCCCAACTCTAAATATTCATCTCTAAGACCATCTCACCTGCTACTTGCTGCAGGAAGCCTTTCTCCATTTCACTTCCCTGCCCCCACCCTGCTAATGGATCTTCTTCCCTCTTCCTGAAAGCCTCGCGTGTACATCCGGGAGTCAACAGACCAACAAGGTTCTGCCTCTTCTGGTTCCTCCGTGAGGCTGTGAACTTCCCCAGGGAAGGATATGTTTCTTGTTTCTATCTTTAAGCACAGAAGCACCAGCACAAGGACTGGTGCATACAGTAGGCCTTAACAACCACTGAACTGATGGTGCAGACATACTTGAATTCAAATGGATCTCAATTTCAAAACACAAGATGTGTTATATTTCTTCAGAAAAGATGGTTGACTATTTTTGATAACTTATTTCTTATTGCAAATAATGTTTTCTTATTGTAAATGATTTGGAAAATATAGAAAACTATAAAGGATAATTTAAAAATAATTTGTGACCTCACGATCCGGAGGCAACCGTAGCTAACAATTAATTTTCTCCTAGTGGATTTTTTAGTGTTTTTGTATATGTGTGTAGTCTCCTATCTTTCTTTTAAAAAAGTTATCAAAAAGAAGCTCTAATCGTTAAAAGTTCTGTTGAGTTGCTTTTAAAAATAGATTTGTTTTAAGAGCAGTTTTAGGTTCACAGAAAAATTGAGAAGAAAGAACAGACAGTACCTGCATACCCCCTGCCACACCCCACCAAACTCCTCCGCTCTCAACACCCTGCACAACATCTGCTACAATCCGTACATTTGTTTCAATTGAGAACCTACATTGACACATCATTATATCCCAAAGTCCATGGTGTATATTAGGGGGCCATTCTTGTTGATGTATATGTATGGATTTCTGCAAATGTATGACATGTATTCACTGTTATAATATCACAGAGTAGTTTTACTGCCCCCTGGCCTTTTACAAATCCACTGGCCTTAAAAAATCCATCTCTTCATCTCTGTTCATCTCTTCCTCCTGCTCACCCCCTGGCAACCACTGATCCTTTTACTTTCTCTGTAGCTTTTCCCAGAATGTCATATCGTTGGAATTGTACGATAAGTAGCCTTTCGGATTGGCTTCTTTCACTTAGTAGTATGTACGTAAATGTCCTCCATGTCTTCATGGCTTGATAGTTCATTTCTATTTAGCACTGAATACTATTCCATGTCTGGATGTACCACATTTTCTTTATCCACTCACTACTGAAGGACATCTTGTTTGCTTCCAAATTTTGGCTACTATGAATAAAGCTGCTATAAACATTCATGTGCAGGTTTTTGTGTGGCCGTAAGTTTTCAGCTCATTTACCATTTGGGTAAATACCAAGGAAGATGATATAGTTTGAATATATATCTCAGCCAAGTCTCCTGATGAACTGTGATCCCTGATGTTGAAGGTGGGGTCTAGGAGGAGGTGTTTGGGGGCAGATCCCTCATGGCTTGTTGCTGTCCTGCTGATAGTGAGTGGGTTCTTGCAGGATGTGGTAATTTAAAGTCTGTGGCACCTGCCCCTCCCGTGCTCCTTCTCTCCCCATGTGGCATGCCTGCTTCTGCTTCACTTTTCTCAGTGAGTGAAAGTTCCCAGAAGCGGAGCGTGTGCCAGCGCCGTGCTTGTACATGCCGCAGAACCACGAGCCAGTTAAACCACTTTTCTTTATAAACTGCCGGTTTCAGGTCTTTCTTCATAGCAATGCAAGAACGGCTTAATACAGAGGAGCTGCCGACTTTCTGGTGTTAGCCTTGTTTGCCTCATAAACTGTTACAGAGGAAAATAATTGAGGTTTACCATAGATAACATTTCCTAAAAACATTCATATATCTCCTATTTGAACTTCGTTGTAGATTGTGGAGAACATGGAGAAATGGAGAATCAGAGAGTGAAGTAATGAACTCAGAGTCCCAGAGCTAGGATGAAGTGGAGACACAACTCAAATTCGGTTCTAAATACACCAAGAACCATTTCATCAAAGCTGCCTCATAGCAATAGAGGCTACAGAAGGAAAAAAAAGCAATATAGTCTGGTTCTCCTCCTGGAGAAACTCAAAGGGAAGAAGTTAGATTTCAGCTTGATATCAGGAAATTGCATATGAGGAGGCTGGAAAGGTTTTTGGAAGCCACTCATTTAAAAATTAAAAAAAATTTTATATATACTGAACACCTGCTTGGAGATTATGTGTCAGGCTTGCCATAGAGTTATGAATCCAGAGATTAATTAGAGTCAGAATTCAAGAAGCTCATATTGGAATGCAGTGGAGTCCTTGCTTGAAAGCCCTTTAGTACAAAAAGGGTTTGCATATAACATATATTTATTCATGTGCATGGAATACTGCATTATATATTGTGTTCACTATCAAACATAATGAAAACTATCAAGTTTAGAAAGATGAGACAGCCAATAAATATATATAAAGGTTCTAGTATTTTCTTCTTGCTCTCTGATGACTCATGGAGAAACACACCCACTGTGGAGCCCACTGATCTAGAAATTAAGAAGACACAGAAGTCGGCACAGGACACAGTGTGGGAAGAGAGAGGGTGGTCCCCTGAGGATAGTAGGGTCAAGGAAATGGCTTAGCGGAGACTTCAAGAAGAGATGATCCCCACATTGAAGACTAACAAGACTTTCATCTACATTCCAGGGTCAGAAAGACAGCATGGCATAGTGGAAAGAGTTGAGAAGCAGAGGATAAGGGTCAGCTCTCCAGTTTAGGGGCTCCACGGCCCTGCCCAAGTCACTCCCCTTTAAGGCCCATATTCCCCTGTGTTCGTTGGAAGTAATAGGACTTGCCTCAAAGACTTGTTGTAAAGATGACATGAGACGGGCTTAGCCAAAGTGCCCCATTGACTGTGTAGGGCTGTCTTCTTATTTTCCAGTGTTTGGTGCCTGCCCCTTGGTACCTGGGTACCTGCCATCTGTACCATATGCTGTGTAGAGGGTAAATGTTCATTGACAAGAGTGAATACTCCAGAGAAAAATATTAATAATAAAGAGGCAATGTTTGACCCAAATGTCCTGAAAAATCAAAATATGAATGAATAATAAGCAAAATGTGGTATCCTTACAATGGAATATTATCCAGCCATAACGTGAATGAAGAACTGATATAATTCAACGTGGATAAACCTCGAGAACATTATGCTGCATAGAAGCCAGCCTACAAAAGGCCAGACCTTCTGTAATTGAATCGATAGGAAATATCCAGAATAGGCAAATCCGTGCTGATGAAGGCAGATAGGTGGTTGGAGAGTGGCTCCTAATGGGTAGAGGGTTTCCTTTTGGGATGACGGAAATGATCTGAGGCCAGATGGTAGTGAGGGCTGCACAACATCATGAATGTACAAAACGCTGCTAATGGCAAATTTTACGTTATGTGTATTTTACCACACATGTAACAAGCAATGTCTGAGCACTTACTGTATGAGGTGCTGTGAGGACATGGCATGCCTTTGCTCCTAGGAGATGTGTGGTCTCAACGAGTGAAGCAATTAGTGCTGAGTAACCTCATTCAAAGAGCTGCTGAGATGAGAACTCAAAGGAGGTAGAGAGGTCAGTTCTGCCTGGTGAAATGTACCCAGCCAACTGGCTGGGAACTGAGCCAGGCTGTCAGAATGTCCAGGTGGTAAAAAAGAGTTTGGGCAGAAAAGGCATTTTAGAAAAGGAAGGGCTTGAATCGGGCCCCGGAGGAAGGGAAGGATTTGAAGGGGCACAGAGTGGGTCAAACCTCATGCGCACAGGCACGGGAGCCCTATGTCTGGCTGAGAGGAGAGGGTATGAAACGCCTGGCCTGGAGCTTTGGCACAGGGCAGGGATGCTGGCAGATGATAAGGGAGTCGGAGGCGTCGAGGAGAAGACTCTGATGCCTCCATTCCTTCCAGCGAACAGCGACTGTCCTGAGCCCCATTCTCCATTGTAGCGCAACCTGGAGAGTAAAAGGAGCAGCACAGTGAGCCTCGGAATTTGCTCCTGAGGAATTTCCTCTGAGCTACTTCAGCTGTCAGCTCGGAGGGAGAAGCTTGGTGGTTGAGTGATCAATAAACCGAACAAGGCCGTGTGCAACAGGGGAGTTTAAAGGAGGTAATTAAACAAACTTCTCATGCAAGCACCCTTAAGGGGATTAATTGAGATTTAAATAATTAAGCCTTGCTAGGTAAGCTAGAGGAGACATACAAATGAAGAAGAGTGTTGCTGATGGCACTAAGACCTGACCTGTGGCAGCCCGAGAGCTGCGGTGCAGTGCGTGCACCAGCTGGGAGGGGAGGCAGAGGAGGCAGGGCCCGCCCAGGAGCACTCAGGCCCCGCCCAGCCCCTGCTCAAACCAGTGGCTCCGTGTCCACAGAACCACCGCTCCACACATTTCCTGGGCGCTTTCCCTCTGTCTCCACAGTTCCTTTTGAAGCTGTCCTCCTGACTCCTAAGGCCACTCCCGGTGCACAACGACGTTGTCTTTCTGTTGGTTTCCTACGATTGTTTACTGGTCAGTTACTCACGTGGCTCCCTCAACTTTGCAAGAATTTAACTTCCTGGAACACAGCCCCAGTTGCCCTGCCAAGCTTTCCCTCAGTCTGGCCTTTAAAGTCCTCTCCAGTGTGACCCCAGTGACTTTTCCAACTTTATTTCCCATTCTCCCTTAGGCCTTTTGCTCCTGTGCGAGTAAGTTCCCTGATCCCACATTTCCCCTGCAGTATTCTGCCTCGGTGCCATTGCCCGCTCTGGATAATGTTCCTCTTTCCATATGGTACACACTGATGTCCCCTAACTAGACATGATCCCGTCCTACTTTGTAGGATATTCATTTACGTGTGTGTCTCATCTCTTCTCAGATTTCCAGCTGCTTTGGCGAAAGATTGTACCTGCTTCACACCCTGAACTGTGAATGTCTTGTGATTGCTGTATTTAAGGAAGAGGCCTGATCCCTTAGCCAAAACCCTGGAGAACAGATGTGCTTTGGAACTGAGAACTTTTCAGATCTTAAAAAGGTATTATGGTGCATCTATCCCATATCACATAACAGCCCAGGTAGGCCTGGGGTAGCCCCCCACTGTCAATCACACTAACAAATCTGCTGTGAAGGTAAGGATATTAGCATTAAAAGGGATAATTAAAGGCAGTACTTACTTCAGTTCAAACCAGGTGTGGACCAAATAAGTTGAGAAAAACTGTTTGTTGTGCTTTTTTAATTTTGAAATTGATAAGGGATTGTGGACCTGTACTCCTTTAGGAATTCCCTTGGGTTTCCACCAGGGCTGCTGCTGGAGAGAACAAAGAGCTTGTTTATCCACTTTCCCGGCAGACTCCAGAGTACTTCAAACTTAGCTTACATCAAATAGATCTATCTATAAGTACAGAGAGTTTAGCTGAACGGGGAATTGCAATTGTAAAGGTGTATATAAAGTCTTAGTGGACCCAGGAAATCCCCCATAGTCACCCTACATTGCTCACGTGCCCATCTGGGGTTGGGGTCAGGGGCTCAGGTGCCAGGGCAATGCCGCAGCCCTAGCACGTGATGTGAGCCCAGCCTTGGGGGCCACGTCTTCAAGCTGTTCAGGCCGTTCCCCTTCACCACATTTATGATCAGCTTTGTCTGATAATACAGCCATTACACTTTAAAGTGCAAGCAGTCTGGAAAGGTTAGATAAAAGGGTAGGCATGAGTGATTAAAAGAAAAAATACAAGTCCCTGGGTGAGACAGTAGAGATGTCGATTTAGGTCTTAAAAGAAGAACAGCCTTAATATCGAGGAATCCTTGCTGGGCCCAGGTTACCTAGATACCACCTCTCAGTGAAAATATAGATCTGTTTCCTTGCCAGGCCTCAGTAGCTTTCAAATCACAGCTTCTTGGATTTATTGCAGGTCATTAACTGCTGTGCTGCGACACAGGGAAGAAAGCAGAAGATTAAAGTAAGAGCTAGGGCTGTTGAGAAAGAATCTGTCTGGTCTTTGTTGCTGGGAGTGTGCTGTTAAATCATTATCACCTGCTAATTCTTGGTGTAACTTTGGGGTGGAAAATTATTATAGAGATGGAAAGGATTTTTCAATTAGATCTAAGTCAGTGAGATTTTCAAGCAGAGTTTGAGATGTGCTTCTTAGGGAAATTGGAACTTGGGTGAGCAAGGCCCTGAGTCAGGACCTGCTACATAATTTGCAGTCCAGTGCAAAATGAAAGTGATAGGCCCCTCTTTCAGAATTAGTTCAGTTTCAAGATGGTGAAATTGCAAAGCATTAAAGCAAGTGCAGGGTCCTGTGATCACGAGGCCCTCCGTGACTTCCTGGGTGAACATATCTGTGAGGCTGGCCCTGCCCCCACAGCCTTCTGAGGCTTTAGAGGGAGCACGATGCAGTGGGAAAATCAAGGAGCTGTATGCTGAGCTAGACAAACCTGCAGTCAATTCTCAGTTTTGCTTGTTACTGGTTATTTGACCTTTGGCAGATGAGGAAGGGACCTCTATTTCCTCCACTGTGAAGCAGAGCTAAAAATACCAGTCCTATGGTGGTATTGTAAAGATGGAATGAAATCAAGTTTGTAGCGTGCTGCTTTGTAGAGTATATGATATCTAGTAAGAACCCAGTAAGTCTTAGTGTTTCATAGCAGTGTTGCTGGTGCCCTGCCATGACCACCTGTCCCTCCTCAGCACCTCCCACCTGACTTCCAAATGCTGGCACCTGCATTGCTCGGTTGATGGCTATTCTCTTGCTGCTTACAGAGAATTAATCACGACCATTCTCCTTTGTCATCCCTCAACCACTGGCTAAGGGAGTGTGGAGTATCAGTACCGCAGCTCCCTTGCCTCTTGGTGAGGTACCTCTGATCTGTGTGTCTTACCAGGGATCTCAGAGTTTTCCCAGGGTGTTAAGCCTCATGCCCCCTGAGAGGTAGCTGGCTGGATAACACATTCCACAGTGGCCACTTTCCCTTCCCTGTGTCTTTCCCGTTCCCATAACAGGGCTCCTGTATCAGTGTGTTTTCACATTGCTATAAAGGAATACCTGAGGTTGGGTAATTACTAAAGAAAAGAACTTTGATTGGCTCACAGTTCTGCAAGCTCCACAGCAAGCATGACACTGGCAACTGCTTTGGGTGAGGGACCCAGGAAGCTTACAATCATGGTGGAAGGCCACAGGGAGCTAGCATATTACATGACAAGAGCAGGAATGAGAAACAGAGAGAGGGGAGGTGCCACACTCTTTTATACAACAAGATCTCACATGAACTCAGAGCAAGAACTTGTTCGTCACCAAGGGGATAGTGCTAAGTCACCCAAAACACCTCCCACCAAGCTCTACCTCCAATACTGAAGATTACATTTCAACATGAGATTTGGAGAAGACAAACATCCAAACCATATCATTCTGCCCCAGCCCCCCAAATCTCATGTCCTTCTCACATGGCAAAATATGATCCCAGTCTTTTCTTGTTCCAGCATCAAGTCAGTCAAGAGCTCCAAGTTCCAAGTCCAAAGACCAGCATCTCATCTGGAGATAAGTTCTTTCCACCTATGATCCTGTAAAATCAAAACCAAATTACTTACTTCGAAGATACAATGGTGGAACAGGCATCAGGTAAACATTTCCCTTCTAAAAAGGGGAAAAATGGCCCAAAGAAAAAGGTAACAAGCCCAACCCAAGTCTGAAACCTAGCAGGGCAGTCTAGTCTTAAAGCTCCAAAAGAATCTCCTTTGACTCCACTTCCCACATCCAGGGCACACAGGAGCAAGGGGTGGCAATATGGTTTGGTTCTTTATCCCTGCCCAAATCTCATGTTCAGTTGTATTCCCCAGTCTTAGAAGAGGCCTGGCGGAAGATGATGAGATCATGGGAGTGGATCGCTCATGAATGCTTTAGTACTATCCTCTTGGTTATGTCTTCATGATAGTGAATGAGTTCTGGTGAGATCTAGTCATTTAAATGTGTCTGACAACTCTCTCCTCTCTTCCTTGCCATGTGACATGCCTGCTCCTGCTTCATCTTCTGCCATGATTGTAAGCTTCTTGAGGTCCCCCAGAAGCTGATATCAGAACTGTGCTTCTTGTATAGCCTGCAGAACTGTGAGCCAATTAAACTTCTTTTCCTTATAAAATACCCAGGCTCAGGTATTTTTTTCTAGCACTGTAAGAATAGACTAATACAGGTGGGCTCCCAATACCCTGGGCAGCTCCACCCCATGGCTTTGCAGAATATAGCCCATGTGACTGCTCTAAAGGGTTGGAGTTGAGTACCTGCAGCTTTTCCATGCTGAGGTTGTAAACTCCTGGCAGATCTACCATTCTTAGGTCTGCAAGGTGGCAGCCCCCTTCCGATAGCTCCACTAGGCAGTGCTCCAGTGGGGACTCTGTGTGTGGGTTCCAACCCCGACACTGCTGTAGTAGAGTATCTGCATGTGGGCTCCATGCCTGCAGCAGGCTTCTACCTTGGCTGGAAGGCTTTCTGATACATCCTCTGAAATCTTGGTGGATGCCGCCAAGCCTCCCTCATGCTTTGCATTCTGTGCACCCATAAGCTTAACCACTATGTGGAAGCTGCTAAGATTTATAGCTGGCATCCTCTAGAGTGGTAGCCCAAGCTGTACCTGGGGCCCCTTGAGCTGCAGCTGGAGCTGGAGTAACCAGGACACAGCAAGAAATGTCCAGAGATTGAGCAGGACAACAGCCCTGGGCCTGACCCCTGAAACCATTCTTTCCTCCTAGGCCTCTGGGCCTGTGATGGGAGGAGCTGTGTCAGAAATCTCTGAAATATCTTTAAGATCTTTTTTCCCATTGTCTTGGGTATTAGCACTTGGCTCCCTTTGAGTCATGCTAATCTCTCTAGCAAGTGGTTGTTCTACAGCCAGGTTGGATTCTCTCTTTACCATAGGGCCAGGCTGCAAATTTTTTAAACTTGTATTCCCTCTTTCCCTTTTAAACATAAGTTCCAACTTTAAGTTATTATTTTGCTTCCTCATCTGATTGTAGACTGTTAGAAGCAACCATCCTACTTCTTGAATACTTAGGACACAAACCGTAAGCCTTGCCAGCTTCCACGTGGTGGTAAGCCTGTGGGTGAACAGATTGCTGTCTACAAATTGCTCCCACTGCATACCTTAAGTCATCACTCTCAAGTTCAGACTTCCACAAAACCATAGGACATGGACACAATGCAGCCAAGCTCTTCACTAGGGCATAACAAGGGTAAGCTTCCTTCCAGTTCCCAATGACTTCCACATTTCTATCTGAGACCTTGTCAGGCTGGAATTCACTGTCCATATCTCTACCAGAATTTTGGTCACAATCACTTAACTGATCTCTAAGAATTTTCAAGCTTTCTCTTGTCTTCCTGTATTCTCTAAGCCTTCCAAATATTTCCATTCCCCGGTTCCAAAGCTGCTTCCACAGTTTCAGATATCTTTATAGCAATGCCCTACTCTTTGATATCAGTGTTCCGTATCAGTCTGTTTTTGTGTTGCTATAAGAAATACTTAAGGCTAGGTAATTTGTAAAGAAAAGAGATTTAATTGGCTCACAGTTCTGCAGGTGTACAGGAAATACGGTGCTGGCATCTGCTTCTGGCAAGGGCCTCAGGAAGCTTACAATTAAGGTAGAAGGCAATAGGGAGCCAGAATATCACAGGATGATAGTGGGAGCAAGAGAGGGAGGAGAGAGGTGCCATACTCTTTTAGAGCAGTCAGATCTCATGTGAACTGAGTGAGAACTCACTTATCACCAAGGGGATGGTGCTAAGCCATTCATGAGGGATCTGCCCCCGTGTTTTAAACACTTCCAATAGGCCCCACCTCCACCATTGGGAACCACAAACGTTCCTCTGGTAACATTTCGCATCCTCATACTCTTCTGGGGGTCACTCCACATGAGATTTGGAGCAAATAAACATCCAAACTCTATCAGCTCCCTTCACCTGGTCTCAGGATCTGCTGCTAGGAGAGCCCAAACTATGACAAGCTCCCATCCCTTCTCCTTTCCTTAGTGAAACGGATGGAGAAGATGTTAGAAAGCAGGAAATGGGAGTATTGGTCTCACTAGCCACCTCAGCAAAATCAGAGTTGGAAGGGACATGAGAAAGTTCTGATTGGTTCTAGTCTGACATAAGAATCCAAAGGAGAAAACAAAAGAGCATGAACTGTTTTCAACAGCCATGATGACTCAGTGTCCTGGGAGCTGGGACAAAAGCCTGCTGCTTCCAGGCTGCCTCAGTGGGGGCACCAGCTCTGAGCTGTTCCTGGGGAAGGTCACTGGTGGTCATCACCTCTGCCATGTACTGAGCTGGAGTGCAGTGTCAAGGCTCTAACCATCCAGAATACATCCTCTGCTGTTTTCTGTTAGAGAGGGCATTTGGGCCCTACCACTCACATTAGGATTTAGTGCAAACCCCAGAATAGTCCTCCTTCAGCCTCAGCTTCAGCAGGCTCAGGCACAAGCTTTTCTAACCAGCCTCTGGGTCAGAAGCAGGGCCACTCCGGTGAGAGGCTGTTCTTTAAGCATTTCAGAGTTTAGCTTGCAATAGATATTTGAGTGCAGAGTGTTTCAAGATTTGTTTTCAGAGTCCTTATTTTAAACTTTTGCTTCACTTCCTCAGTATTATTGGGTGTGTTCTTGGGTCAATTTTGGAAAATTCTGCTTTTTCTTTCTTTCTTTGTCTTCTGGGTTCCTTTGGTAACATTTCTAGTCCTCGATATGGTTCCTTTGGTAACATTTCTTCCTTGATATGGTTTGGATATGTGTCCCCTCCAAATCTCATGTTGAAATGTCACCTGCAATATTGGAGATGGGGCCTTGTGAGAGGGCTCGGATCATGGGGCAGATCCCTCATGAATGAGGCACCATCCCCTTGTTGATGAGTGAGTTTTTGCTCAGTTTACGTGCGATCTGGGTGTTTAAGAGTCTGGGACATCCCCCTTCTCTTTCTTGCTCCCTCTCTCTCTGTGTGATACATGGGGTCCCCCTTCTACCATGAGTGGAAGTTTCCTGAGGCCTCACTGGGAACATATGTCCACACTATGCTTTCTGTGAAGCCTGCAGAATCATGAGCCAGTCTGTAAAGCCTGCACCTTTCTGTGAAGCCTGCAGAATCAAAAGCCAATTAAACTCTTTTCCTTATAAGTCATCCAGCCTCAGGTTATTTCTTTAAAACAATGCAAAAAGGGGGAAAAGAAAAACAGGCAAACACACTCCTCTATCAATAATACTCCATCCTCCTCCACCTCCTCTTTCCTTCTTTGTTTTTCTCCATCTCATGCTTGGAGGAGGGTGTAGGAGCCTCAGGCTTCTCTTAGAGCAAAAGATCTTAACTACTGTAATGCCATGGGCCCCACTGGTGGTCTGATGAAGCCTATAGACCCTTTCTCAGAGTAATGTTTCTTAACAAAGAAAATACACAGGATTACAGAAGCAAAACATAATTCAATAGCATTGTATTGTATTGATATATAAAAAACTTCAAAACCCCAATTTGTGACCTACGATGTATGTGGTTTCTATTAATAATTTCATAACATTTATTGTGGATAGTGTTAAATAAAGTTTGAAGTAGTAATGAGCATAAAAAAGTTTTTATATCCACAACAACTGTAACAAGATATAAAAATATCCACGTCTGTGGTGACAAAGACCCAGTACTATGAATACTACTCCAGTTTGTTGCTTCCTTTTATAATTGAAGGAAAAGCTAAATTTCAGTCAGTAATGAGTGAAAACAAAGATGTAATTGTTTTCCCCATTCATGTTCCTGGAATGCCTGAATTCTATCCTCCGGCCCTTAGTAAAAATGTCTGTCCTAGTGTCTGATGTGTACCTCAAACATGCCTCTGCTTTTCCCGCCTTTGCTACCCATCGTGAGATCCCGGTCCCTTTCCTGCTGCACCAGGGAACCATGGCTTATCTGAGCAAATTGCAGGGCTGTTCTGAGATCTCACCCATCGTGTTCTTGGTCCTGGCAACAGTGCCTGGCCCCAGCCTGTAGCTACAGAAGAGAGTTAAGCATTTTGACTGCAATAAACTGAGAGATAAAAGATGAAGTATGCTTGTTCTTTAGGATGTCAAAGCAGGCCACCGTCTTAGAATGTAATTCCACTAAAAACGAAGATTACCCATGAGGAAAACTCAGCAGTCATACTGGTAGACATATGGGCTGCCTTGAAATCGACAAATAATTGTATCCCATCCCCATCTGGCTTTATTTCAAGACAGGGGATGAATTAGATATTGAGCAAAACTATTGGCTGAGTGAAAAATAGATGTTCCTGAAGCCAAAAAAGAACATAAAAGGTGGAGAAAAGCTGTGAATAGGTCATCAGAGAGTGACAAAGGCATTTTATTAGGGGAAGAGGTCATGTGCAGAGAGAAACCCCCGCAGTCCCAGAGATGCCATATATGGAAACAGAATAAATCTCCAAGGATGCCTGTAGCAATCCCACGCATGTGGTAAAGAGAAACGAAGCAGTTGGTCCGGCTGTGTGCTCACCCACACATTTTTTTTACTTTTTATGTATATTCTGCTCAATTCTCCTTTCTCCCCTTCCTGGCACTCATAGCTTCTCACTTCACTCTTTTTCACTTCTGGCACATTGATGGGCAGAATGCTAAGAGAGATAAGCTGGGGCCTTGCCCTCGAAGAGGGTAATGGAAAGGAAGTGATTGGGGTTCAAATCTTAAATCTTTCACTTCACATCTGGGGACTTTAAATGAGCCATAAACTCTGCTGAGTCTCACTTTTTTTTTTTTTTTTTACCTGAAAAGATGAGAATAAAGCAGCCATCTACTCCAGAGTGTCATATGAGGATTAACCTGTCTGTTCTTGTCCTTCTGACATACCTGAAGTGGAAAGAACACAGGTTTTGAAGTGTGGCAGGAGTGGGCTTATCATTTAATCTCTGAACATCAGTTTCTTTGACTGCAGAATGGGGATAATGATTTCTACGTTGTAGGTTTGTTGTGGGGTTTAAATGCCATAAAGAATTTACCAACCAATACCCTGGCAGGGAACAGGCACTCAGGAGTTAAAATCAAACAAGAAATGTGTTTATTGTTTGGGCACCTGCTAAGCTGCCGTGCTTTCCTGTAACTAGGTCCAGACAGGTTTTAAGAGGTA